TGGTTCCAGTAATCCATGTCCTTGGTCTGCTTGTCTTCAGCAAACTGTTTGCGGGCTTTCTTGTGCATCATCTTTAGAAGAGGCTTCCTTCTGGGACGACAGCCATGCAGACCAATTTGATGCAATGTGCAGCGTATGGTCTGAGCACTGACAGGCCCCACCCCTTCAACCTCCGCAGCAATGCTGGCAGCACTCATACGTCTATTTCCCAAACACAACCTCTGGATATGACGCTGAGCACGTGCACTCAACTTCTTTGGTCGACCATGGCAAGGCCTGTTCTGAGTGGAACCTGTCCTGTTAAACCGCTGTATGGTCTTGGCCACCGTGCTGCAGCTCAGTTTCAGGGTCTTGGCAATCTTCTTATAGCCTACGCCATCTTTATGTAGAGCAACAATTCTTTTTTTCAGATCCTCTGAGAGTTCTTTGCCATGAGGTGCCATGTTGAACTTCCAGTGACCAGTATGAGAGAGTGAGAGTGATAACACCAAATTTAACACACCTGCTCCCCATTCACACCTGAGACCTTGTAACACTAATGAGTCACATGACACCGGGGAGAGAAAATGGCTAATTGGGCCCAATTTGGACATTTTCACTTAGGGGTGTACTCACTTTTGTGGCCAGCGGTTTAGACATTAATGGCTGTGTGTCGAGTTATTTTGAGGGGACAGCAAATTTACACTGTTATACAAGCTGTACACTCACTACTTTACATTGTAGCAAAGTGTCATTTCTTCAGTGTTGTCACATGAAAAGATATAATAAAATATTTACAAAAATGTGAGGGGTGTACTCACTTCTGTGAGATACTGTAGTAGTAAACAGTGGACAGAGAAAATGACAGAGCTGGATGGGAAACCAGGAAATTCGACTAATTCTCCTTTTCCACTCTTCCTCTTCCATCCAGACATACTCTCAATATTTCCGCAAGGAAGTTTCCCTGCTTTCCCTGCCCAGCTTCATCCCTCAAGACATTTAACTTGCTTTCCCTTTCGTCTGTTTCTCAGTCATCATCATTTTTGGCTCAGTCTGCTTTAGCAGTCGGTGTGTAAAAGCCCTCATTCCTTCCATTACCAGATGAAAAACAGCGCTGTGAGAATCTGTCCAGACCAGAACCCATTCATGAACTCATCAAAACCCAAATGCATTCTTGGGGGAGTGATTTAATGTGACTTGATGCAGACTGTCTCAGGGGTTCAAAGACCATTTTTGTTTGTATAATATGAAATATATTAAATACATAGTCTGCTTTATTCTGAAAATGTACTGATGTGACCTTATTTTTCTTAACTGTTCATTGCTTTAGGTACAAAATGCTAGGAGGAATGAATTTAAAATGCCCATTATAAAACGGATATATACTTGATTCTGATTGGCTGAGCCACATTCGAAGCTGTTTTTATTAATATCATTACACTTTATTTGCTCTGTTTTATTTTGTGAAGCCTTACTACGGAGGGCTGCACGATAAATCGAAATGGAATCGAGATCGCGATTCAACAGAAGCTGTGATTGTCATGCATATCTTTTAGTGAAGCACGGTTCTGTGATCAGCAGTAAATCTCCATCCAAAGGCCAGAGGGAGCGCTCTCGTGCTGAAACTCCAAATACGCCTCCCAGAAGAAACCCAGAAAATGCCTATCGCTGCAGCTGAATAAACAGAAGATTTAACTGCTTTCATTGATTCAACGTGACTAATAAACACACAACTACGGCAATATACGAGTTCTTATTATTATAATTTTCATTAAACTAAAGTATATTTATAATGCAATGCCTTTATCACTGCTTAAATACTATGAAATATGTTGCGTGCCTTATTCTGTGTAAGAAGCCACATCATCTCACAGAAGGATTTATTTCAAACACTCGACTGCGTAACTTGTCAGTGAACTACGGCTCTGTGTAGTAAATGCTGCTCCATCTGAAAGCACGTGATGATGATTTCCTGCTGATTACAGAACCGGCTTTTTTAACCAAATGCGCATGACAATCGCATTCGATTAATCGTGCAGCCCTATTCACGTATATGGAATAACCATTTTATAACAGCAATAAGCCCCATGAAGCCGTGGTTTACAGTGAATTTATAACTGTATGATATGATATGATCTCAAAACAGTATTCTAGACTTGTTCTTGTCATAGTCTCAACCAGGGGTTTATTTCTGAATTACAATTTGACTGAAACTACATATACGCATCCCTTCTTTGGCAAACTTTGGCACATTTCTGCATGCAATCATCTTCCTGTGTTGCCTTGGGGTCATGTTCTCTCGTCTAAACTAGGCTGAGAAATGCACTCCATCACTGTCCCTAGCTTAGTCTCAGACTGATTCACTTGTCAAACCTAATTACAGTGAGTTTCCACTTGATAAAAAATGTGCAGCGCTTGAAAGCTGTAGCAACCACTTCTGATTTTCAAGATAGAACATGTATTTAGTCATGCAAAATTATTATATTGAGGTTAAGTGTGAGAGCTTGATTTCACAGTTAACTATTCGAAGAGCGTGTTAAAATAGTTAATTAAATGTCACATGGTTCTGTGTGTTCAAATATTTATGCGAATCATAAAGATATATTAGAGGCATAGAGCAATCTAAATCAATAATCTGATAATTAATTCATTTTATTTTTATTATCCTAAAAAGGGGCACAAACAATGGGCAGATGGAGCGTTGATTTATTTGCTACATAGATCTAAAACACATAATGTCAGCATAAAACTCTGACCCCACTGAAATGGGTCCAAATATGACACTGCGAGAACAATGAACTTTCATGAGAACAGTGCGTCTTCAATGCCGTCCTGTATTAACCCTGCACAAAACCACAGATTAACATCTAACACCTTCTGACACAACCTCCAGCCAGACCAAAGATGACCTCGACCAGAAATCAGGCATCTTCTCTCTGATAGGCTGAGACATTCAGGAGAAAATTAAGCACACACACAGAGAGAGATGGTGTCACTCCATTACGATTCTCTAGTTCAGGAATGAATAAGACAGAGTGTTATGCGTGTTCCCATCTCTCCCTTTAGTTTTTATCGTCTTGCTTAATCCTGTTTTCCCTCTCTCCATTGGCGTGATCCCTCATTCCATGCAACGTAAACGAAGAGAGCCAGAACCACATGGACAGCAAGCACAGCAACGATGGCGGCATAGAAGTAGCTGTCATTGCTGGAGTATCCCAGAGAGGCTGTGAAGAAAAGATGAGAATTAAGCAGAAATCATGAATTACCAAAGCAAATCAGCACCTAAGGACTTAATATACTGACCTGTAGTGTTACACATGGATATTAAATATGATTATTGTTCTTATTATTTTAATGCATAAATAAAAGACTAGTTTATCAGCCTTTGGAAGCAAAATACCTTCAAAGAGAAAAGACTTTGATGCAAAATACAGCCCGATTGGTAAAGTTATCATCAGAAGAGTGAAAAACAATAGCGTCTTGAGTACAGAGACAAGTGAACCTTCATTCCTGAATGAATGCAAGGAAGAAAGAGACGAGGAGAGATTACACAAATGAAAACAGTCGAAATATGAGCTTTAAATTACTATTTCAATTTAAAATTGCCCTTAGTCATTGTAATTTTGGTGTCACGTGTAGTCTGAGCAGAAAAGGCGCATCATATAAAATATCTTACCCTCTGAAACCAGGCGCGGTTGCAGGCATGGAGTCCACAGGTGTCTTATCGTAATTTTGCATTTTTAATTATGAACAAAAAAAAGAAGAAAGATATGGGAACTCAATAGCTCGTAATTCCGTGCTGCGACATATTGACTGATTTGCGCTTCCGGGTTTTTGTCACGTGACAGCGGTTGTGCGAGCGTTTTTGTGCATGTCCTCTAGGGGGCGCCGCAGCACTGCAACGAGCTTCCAGCAGTACAGGACCTGAACTTCTGAAACATCCAGTGTTGCCAACTTAGCCATTTTGTTGCTAAATTTAGCAACTTTTCAGACTACCCTGGCAACTTTTTCTTCCAAAAGCACCTAGCAACATATTTAGCTATTTTTAAAATTAATTTGGCAACTTTTAGCAACTTTTGATAAGTGACTCAAACAATAAAAAGGCACAATTTACCATTTAAATTACACAAAAAGAGGAAACCAAAGATGCTTAGCAGTACACACATCACAGGAATTAAGTTAGCTGCTATTTGCAATTGTTTAATTTAATAGTAATAATAATAATTTCATAATTGAATACTGTTATTGTTCATTTATGGGACACTTTGTTAGTAGCTTGTACCTGCGATTGTTGATGAGTTAGTTACTAACTCATCAACAATCGCAGGCTGTTTTTCCATTTTATATGTAGATATATATGTAGAAAAATGGAAAAGGTGCTAGTAATTTTCCAGTACATTATCCGTTGTTAACCTGAAAATGCGTAATTAAAAATGCAGGTAAAAAAAGAACCTGTGGAAAAATCAATCAGTAATTTTATAGATTTAATGCACTGACACTGTTCTTGAACTGAACTGAGCTGAATAATGACATTGTTGCCTTCTGTAAAGCTGCTTGTAAGGCGGCTTGTTTCATAATTGATGAACATCAACAGTTTTGTTGAACTAAACTGAGCTCAACAATGACTCTTCTGTAGAGCTGCTTTACACCTTAAATTGAAATTGTTTGATAATTATCTTTATAACATTAACACTGTTATTTTACTGTTTATTAATGTGAAGCTGCTCTTATAATATGTATAATATAAAGCTCTATATAAATAAATGTGATTTAACTTCACTTTACTTTTATTTAAAAGTCATGAAAATGTATGAAGTGGTGAGGGGGGCCTTTAACTCATACTAAAGGCTCAGAGTAAAAAGCTCACCAGCATGGGGTAAAAGGTCTCCAGTATTTATGCAAATATGTATGCCATCCGGTTCATAGGTCTGACATCCTAAAGCATGACAAGATCCCAAAGCAAACAACAAATGGTGCTAATATACACTCACAGTGTGCTGTAGTAATCCCAACAAGCCTGTGAGCCAGGAGACTGTAGTGTATGGTCAAGACAGTGTTCTCCGCTCAATTGAGTAGAGGCTTGGACCCGTAAACAGTATTCCATATGTCACGACTTAAAGGGATAGTTCACCCAAAAATTAAAATTCTGTCGTCCCAAACCTGTAAGACCTTCATTCATCTTCGGAACACAAATTAAGATATTTTTGATGAAATCCGAAAGCTTTCTGACCCTGCATAGACAGCAACGCAACGGACACATTCGAGGCCCAGAAAGGTAGTAAGGACGTTGTTAAAATAGTCCATGTGACATCAGTAGTTCAACCGTAATTTTATGAAGCTACAAGAATACTTTTGTGCATAAAGAAAACAAAAACAATGACTTTATTCAGCAATTTGTTCTCTTCACGGTACTGTCGTGAACATGCGTCGAAGTCTGAAATGGAAGATAAGAAATTGTTGAATAAAGTAATTATTTTTCGTTTTCTTTGCGCACAAAAAGTATTCTCATAGCGTCATGACATTACGGACGTTGTTAAAATAGTCCATGTGACATCAGTAGTTCAACCGTAATTTTATGAAGCTACAAGAATATTTTTGTGCATAAAGAAAACAAAAACAATGACTTTATTCAGCAATTTGTTCTCTTCACGGTACTGTCGTGAACATGCGTCGAAGTCTGAAATGGAAGATAAGAAATTGTTGAATAAAGTAAATATTTTTCGTTTTCTTTGCGCACAAAAAGTATTCTCATAGCGTCATGACATTTCGCCCTATGTTTGCTCATTTGTACAGAGAAGAACTGGCCCCCCATCTGAGCCTGGTTTCTCCCAAGATGTTTTTTTTTCTCCACTGCTGTCACCTGATGGAGTTTTGGTTGCTTGTCACTGTCACCTTTGGCTTGCACAGTTGGAGTGTGAAAGACAATTAATATTCAGTAATTTTATAGATTTAATGCACTGACACTGTTCTTGAACTGAACTGAGCTGAATAATGACATTGTTGCCTTCTGTAAAGCTGCTTGTAAGGCGGCTTGTTTCATAATTGATGAACATCAACAGTTTTGTTGAACTAAACTGAGCTCAACAATGACTCTTCTGTAGAGCTGCTTTACACCTGAAATTGAAATTGTTTGATAATTATCTTTATAACATTAACACTGTTATTTTACTGTTTATTAATGTGAAGCTGCTCTTATAATATGTATAATATAAAGCTCTATATAAATAAATGTAATTTAACTTCACTTTACTTTTATTTAAAAGTCATGAAAATGTATGAAGTGGTGAGGGGGGCCTTTAACTCACACTAAAGGCTCAGAGTAAAAAGCTCACCAGCATGGGGTAAAAGGTCTCCAGTATTTATGCAAATATGTATGCCATCCGGTTCATAGGTCTGACATCCTAAAGCATGACAAGATCCCAAAGCAAACAACAAATGGTGCTAATATACACTCACAGTGTGCTGTAGTAATCCCAACAAGCCTGTGAGCCAGGAGACTGTAGTGTATGGTCAAGACAGTGTTCTCCGCTCAATTGAGTAGAGGCTTGGACCCGTAAACAGTATTCCATATGTCACGACTTAAAGGGATAGTTCACCCAAAAATTAAAATTCTGTCGTCCCAAACCTGTAAGACCTTCATTCATCTTCGGAACACAAATTAAGATATTTTTGATGAAATCCGAAAGCTTTCTGACCCTGCATAGACAGCAACGCAACGGACACATTCGAGGCCCAGAAAGGTAGTAAGGACGTTGTTAAAATAGTCCATGTGACATCAGTAGTTCAACCGTAATTTTATGAAGCTACAAGAATATTTTTGTGCATAAAGAAAACAAAAACAATGACTTTATTCAGCAATTTGTTCTCTTCACGGTACTGTCGTGAACATGCGTCGAAGTCTGAAATGGAAGATAAGAAATTGTTGAATAAAGTAATTATTTTTCGTTTTCTTTGCGCACAAAAAGTATTCTCATAGCGTCATGACATTACGGCTGAACCACTGATGTCACATGGACTATTTTAACGATGACTACCTTTCTGGGCCATAAAACGTGTCAGTTGCATTGCTGTCTATGCCGGGACAGAAAGATCTCGGATTTCATCAAAAATATTTTAATTTGTGTTCTGAAGATGAACGAAGGTCATACGTTTGGAACAACATGAAGGTGAGAAATAAATGACAGAATATTCATTTATGGGTGAACTATCCTTTTAACAAGTGGATAGTAATACATTTGTGTAATAAGTTAATACTTGTTCAAAAGTTTTGCACCATAAAATTGTTTTTTATTTTGATTAACAAAATAATTAAAATGTATTTTACGCTGTCATTAAAATGAGTTCTTTTTAAAAATTCTCATAGCGTCATGACATTACGGCTGAACCACTGATGTCACATGGACTATTTTAACGATGACTACCTTTCTGGGCCATAAAACGTGTCAGTTGCATTGCTGTCTATGCCGGGACAGAAAGATCTCGGATTTCATCAAAAATATTTTAATTTGTGTTCTGAAGATGAACGAAGGTCATACGTGTTTGGAACAACATGAAGGTGAGAAATAAATGACAGAATATTCATTTATGGGTGAACTATCCTTTTAACAAGTGGATAGTAATACATTTGTGTAATAAGTTAATACTTGTTCAAAAGTTTTGTGTACATGTAGTTAATTAATATTACTCAGTACTTAAATGTATAATAACACTGTAACAAGCACACCTTAAAATAAAGTGTTACTGAAGATATTTATAACAGTCACTGGTGCTTCAAACAACATTGGACCCCATTGACTTCTTCTTTTGTGGTCCACAGAAAAAAAGAAACTATAAACCATACCATAGTATAATTATGATTACTGGGCAACCCAAATACAATATCAAAGAAAAATAATCATATATTCCTCAAATATTTATTCAAGCTAAAAAAAATATATATACAGTGGGTACGGAAAGTATTCAGACCCCCTTAAATGTTTCACTCTTTGTTATATTGCAGCCATTTGCTAAAATCATTTAAGTAAATTTTTTTCCTCATTAATGTACACACAGCACCCCATATTGACAGAAAAACACAGAATTGTTGACATTTTTGCAGATTTATTAAAAAAGAAAAACTGAAATATCACATGGTCCTAAGTATTCAGACCCTTTGCTGTGACACTCATATATTTAACTCAGGTGCTGTCCATTTCTTCTGATCATCCCTGAGATGGTTCTACACCTTCATTTGAGTCCAGCTGTGTTTGGTTATACTGATTGGACTTGATTAGGAAAGCCACACACCTGTCTATATAAGACCTTACAGCTCACAGTGCATGTCAGAGCAAATGAGAATCATGAGGTCAAAGGAACTGCCTGAAGAGCTCAGAGACAGAATTGTGGCAAGGCACAGATCTGGCCAAGGTTACAAAAAAAATTCTGCTGCACTTAAGGTTCCTAAGAGCACAGTGGCCTCCATAATCCTTAAATGGAAGACGATTGGGATGACCAGAACCCTTCCTAGAGCTGACCGTCCGGCCAAACTGAGCTATCGGAGGAGAAGAGCCTTGGTGAGAGATGGAGAGGATCTGTAAGGAGGAATGGCAGCGGATCCCCAAATCCAGGTGTGAAAACTTGTTGCATCTTTCCCAAAAAGACTCATGGCTGTATTAGATCAAAAGGGTGCTTCTACTAAATACTGAGCAAAGGGTCTGAATACTTAGGACCATGTGATATTTCAGTTTTTCTTTTTTAATAAATCTGCAAAAATGTCAACAATTCTGTGTTTTTCTGTCAATATGGGGTGCTGTGTGTACATTAAGGAGGAAAAAAAATTAACTTAAATGATTTTAGCAAATGGCTGCAATATAACAA